TGGTTGTTGTAGTTGTTTTAATTAGGCGCATGCAACGGAAATTATGGTTGTTTAGTAGCTGCAGTTGCTTTTACGCAAATTATTCAGCGGCGAGTGAGTGCTACACTGAGCGAAAACTAAGTAATCTTCTCTCTCATTGAGCTCCATTTAAGAATTGTGCTACATTGCAAATGATTCATAGAAAATACCAGACATGATTCATCAGTTGCAACAGCTTTGCATTAGAATTTCTCATTTATTTATTTTTATTATAAATATATATTTGCTGTGGTTTCATCTTTCATTGAAATGCAAGTCTACGACAAACTCAACGGAATTATTTCGAGTGTAAATAAATAATTGACTCAGTTTCTTACTAAAGAATGTTATTTGTATGTATTAGAGTTGTATAAGATATAATATAATAACAAGTTATCAAATAAGCTATAATATATTTATTTATACAGAATCATGGATTAATAATTAATATTATAATATGTACATATATAAAATTGTTTAATGTATATACTTGTATATACTTTTCTTTCATACTTGTATATACTTTTCTTTCAGTGTATATGCTTATATTTTATGCACTTAAATGCTGCCGTTTCATGTCCCAGCTCTGCAAATTCACCGTTAACTGCAGCCACTACTGGCATTGTTTACAATTGTTGTTGTTGTTGCAGCAGCAGCAGCAGTTGTTGCATGCTTTGTGGCCATGATGCCAATTTGCAGAGTCCCTCATCCAATTGCACTCAAATTCAATTGAGTGATGAGCTTGGCCTATCTTATACGAGGCAAACTCTTCTATTCGCATAAGCACGCTCACACGCTCTCTATCTCTTTCACTCGCACGCGCGCGCTCGCTCACTCTTGTTGCTGTTGAAATTGCAGGATCGTTGTTTGCACTTATATTTAACGCTTTCTCTTCTACACTCAACACTATAGAGAGTTGAGTCACTTTAATGCGACGCGGCAGAGCGAGTCGTGGAAGGAAAGAGAGAGGGAGGGAGCGAGCGAGTGAGTGAGTGAGTGAGTGACCGCATTAACCAGTTTGTCTAAAACTCCATTCAACTCTGTTGCCTTCCAGTCCCGCTTGCCGCTTACCACTTGCCACTTGCCACTGGGGGTTGCTGCCATTTGGCTAAGGGTTGTTTTGCTCGTAAAATGCGGCTTTTACTACGCGTTGACTCCTTTTTTTGTTGTATTTCACTTTATTTTTTTGCAAAGGCGGTAAATATTTGCGTATAGAATGTGAGTGAGGGGCCTTGGCAGGAAGACAAAATGAGGTTGAGTGCGTAGAAGTGTGCGTGTTAGTGTGTGTGCGTGCGCATGTGGAATGTGTGACAAGCTCCAGATTTGAATATCCCTATA